CGAAATCACAATGTATTTTTTTTCAGCACAACGGCGCTGCGTTTTGCTGTGTCGTGTCGTGCCGCGTGTGTGGAGACATAGCTCTTCCTTCAACATTCCGAAGAGCAAGCCCGTCTCTTCCTTCTCATCTTCTTCCTCTTTCGCTGGGGGATTATGTAGCTGGTAGATGTATCGAACGTGCAACGACCATCATCCACCAATTATTGTATTTCGAAGGTTTGAAACCTCCGGAGTCATCTTGTGGATTGTAGCAAAGTACAGTCACGTAGAGGAGGGATTGTAGCAAAGTAGAGATGTAGTGTATAGAGATTGTACCTTGATCAGACTCTCATCAGGATAGAGCAGATGCAGCGTCGCAGATTCGTTATGTAATGTTGGCTTTATTAATAACTCGAACACATACAACATATGATATATACATACATAACTAAGTTACGTTCATCCTGACGCCAGTTCCTGTTTCTCTGTCTCTCGTGATCTGTCCCCTCTCCGTCTCTGTTACTCCGTATGTAATCCTCGGTAAATGTATAACTGTGATAGACAAATTTAGCGATTCTCATTGAATTCATGTTTGCATGTCGTATGTTTATTAAAAGGTGGGAGAGAAGTGGGATATGGTTGACCCGGATGTCCACTCTGAGCGATGGATCGTGGTGACCTCGGTCAACCAACCTACGGAGGACATCCGCAAAATGGCGTCGATGTCAGACTGGAAGATGGTCGTTGTAGGCGACAAGAAGTCACCGCCCGACTGGAGGTATATAACACGTTCATATACATGCACCCACAAGCCCACGCCCACGCGCACGGTTTCGCCTAAGGTCACGATGTGCAAGCTGTCAGAAATATTCTTGTCGCGGCATTTGTCATAACAATTACTTTTTCCCGTAGACAGAAACATCGTAAGGTTGTGAGAATGAAAAAATCTTACCAAATCTTGTTACTTTATGAAATACCCGATGCTATCGTATCTATTAAACAAAGATAAACAAAGCAAAACTACACAACAAAATTACCATTATATTGTTATTACATTTCATAATAATCAGTAAAATCTGTGTTCATCGTTAAAAACGTATCGGAATCACTTCCCGTCTCATTATCGTGCAGAAAAACACTTACAAGTGACGATTGTTCTCTTGTTCCTGATATTCTGACGAGTCATGACGCACGCGTCTTGTGTTACCATGTAGTGTAATGTCTTGCAGTGCAGAATAAATATGTGAACATGCCATTTATTCATTTAATCGTTTACACGTGATTGCTATCATAAACTGCATATCTTCCACTCTCTCGCTACAAATGTATTTGAATTTGAGATTTCTAATCGATTCTCATGCAATCCGCGCCTCGGGATAGTAAGTTCCCATTGTCGAAAGTTTCCTCGTAAATACGATTCGTTTTCGTCAACGCTATTCTCGCATCTTAACATTAGTCGTAACGATTATCTTAGTAATAACTATATATACTCCTTACTTAACGATGTTTTGGACAACGGGCCCCTTGTTATTTATTTAAGTAAAATTCGCATTCATACGAGTTAAGATATTACCGCTTACAGTATAAAGACGGGCAGATAAAATTGCCTACGCGTATAGGCCCTACACGGCATCTTGCGTATTTCCGTTTACTCACAACACATTTGTCGTTGCTTGTTTGCTTCGGTTTCATTCAAACATATTGCAAAATTTGTGAGTTATAACAAGGTGGGCACCATATAACAATCCTATTATCATAGTTTAGACAGATAACCGGATCTTATCACAAACAACTGTCGCAATTGTATAGTAAAGAACTCTTACGTGTCATGTAGTTACTATAACGCGCACGAATACCATAGTAACTACGCACGCTGCGCTGAACAGCGCACTGATTTCTTTTACATGTCGGTTTTCTTTGTTATATGAGATTTTTTTTTCATTCGGTCGGGTAATATTCGGTTAGATGAACGCCTTTAAGTCAGCCACGTGTTTATAATGAACTACTTCGTAGAAAACACTCTAGTGTACCCAATGTACGGGGCGCCATGCAGACAGGGCTCAATTTTGTCCTAACAAAAATCATTCTGTTCACAAAACCCACTTTGTGCAGCCAACTCAATTCTGTCTCACAAAGACCCACATAACTCAATTTTGTGACAATAAACTCAATTCTGTAAATCAAAATCGATTTTGTTTGCCAAATATGGACAACGCGATGTAATAAGGCTACCCATTGGTCAAGAACAAGATGGGCGCCATGAACTTTTCCGCCCAGTTTCTGACAATGGTAGCCCTTCTTAATGCGTGTGCCATTTTGAGCAACAAAATCGAGTTTTGTGGAACGCGATTGACAGAATTGAGTTTTGTGTTACAAAATTGAAGTTTTTGTGGAACCGGATTGACAGAATTGAGTTTTGTAGTTTACAAATTAGAGTTTTGAGTAACAGGATGACAGAATTGAGTTTTGTGTTCAACAAAAAAGTTTTTGTGGGACAGGATTGACATGAATTGAGTTTTGCTGTTCACAAAATTGAGTTTTGTGGGACACGGCATTGCAGAATTGAGTTTGTGTTACGAAACTCATTTTGTCAAGTTTAATAGGTCCACAAAATGCCTGTCCTGCATGGCACCCCGTCAATGAGCATAATCAACTCAAGTAAACGGCAGGTGCGGTACAAGACGCCGTAGATCAGCCAAAGTTGGCTCAGTTAATTTCTGTTTTCTATTATGCAGGCGGCAAAACTGTATCTTATATGGGCCTGAGATACAACATCTTAGTACGAATCTAAGAAAGATTACATGGACAATTACGCCGGAAGAATGTTGGATATCTTATGTATACAGGTGAGCACAAATTTGGTTATGTATATATTATATATATTATAATATATATATATTATATATATATATATATTATATATACTATAAATATATCGTGACACATGACATGTGTGACATAATTACACTAAGCAGTGTGTGTGTGTGTGTGTGTGTGTGTGTGTGTGTGTGTGTGCGTGCGTGTGTGTGTGCGTGCGTGTGTTACCGCAGGTGAAATCAACAAAATAAAATCGTTTTTAAAACACTGATTCGGATATAGACGGTATACGACCATATAACACGAGGTTAGTAACGTTAACTACCTTGATACTATTATCAAGTTTCCTGCATGATTATTATTTGAATTATATATGATATGGATTATTATGTGTATTATGTTTTTTTCGTCTACAATACTTGGCAGGCATGGCGCAATATATATTGCGACAGCCGATGAGAAACATCGCAGATAATCTCAACAAGTTTTCGTGATACGGGCTACGATGAGGAAATAGTAACGAGATGTTGGTCACGACAGAAGATGCGGAGATTCCTAAACCCGTATGCCCACTTTGGACAGCCTACAATATGGCCTCGTGGATTCCCACTGGGGGAAATTGCTTTAAACGTAGAAATGAAATACGCTTTCTGCAAGTTCAAAACGCCGGTTATTCAGCAAGGCATTGTGAACGGCGACCCGGACGTGGATGCCATTTTTAGATTAACTAGGAAGAAAGTGGGCCTAAGACTTAACATAACATTCGATGGAACTGCCCCACCAGTTGTTCTTTCTCCTGGCACGTTCTCGCCGTTCAACTCACAGAACACGCTGTTCCATCACGCGGCGTTCTGGGGTCTTCTGCTCCCGGTGACAACAACGTCACGAGTATGCGACATCTGGCGAGGTTACTGGGTGCAGAGACTGCTGTGGGAAACTGGTGACCAACTTGCCTTCTTCGGACCCACGAGTTTTCAACGTCGAAACTCGCATTCATACATGAACGATGCTAGCGACGAAGCAGACCTGTACTACAAAAGTAATAGTCTCGTAGACCTGTTGCTTGATTACCAGTGCAAGGCAGACGACATCTATATTTGTATGATAGAACTTACCAACGAAATGGTTAGGCACGACTTCATACAGCTCGACGATGCTTTGTTAATGAGAACGTGGATAAACGATCTCAAGGCTGTCGGTTACAAACCGCCAGCCAAACAACGGAGAACTGACGAAGTAAGAAATAATAACTGTCGTGCGGAGCAGGATAAGGGCGTGGAGGTGCTATTCGAACCGCGCCCGCAGCCTACATCACTCATCCACTCACCATCTCCAAAAAGAGTTCTTCAGAACGAGGCTGCAATTAAATCGCTGCAGCGGAATATTTGTCCATCATTCGTACAACCGCGGTCACGGGTTCCACAATCCGGCTTGCTCTTTGATGACATATTGCTCATCATAATTTTTAATGGTTACCATACCGATACAATTCCCATTCTCGAGGTCATGTACCGTCCCAGCTTCCCCAATATTCTCTACTGTGGCGAATTCCGCCCAGAACAAGATAACCGCACTTTCGCAAACATCAAATATTCGTATTATGCCGTTCCAAAGATGGGGCTAGACGGGTATAACTCATACGAATGCACGATCGGAGCCATTAGAATGGGCTACAATGTCTCCGGGTTTCTCGTCATAGGGGACGACGTCCGGTTAAATATCCAACAATGGACTAATCTAAATAGGTCAGCATCAATGTTTCAGGACATGCCGACCACCGACGTTCAAAGTAAAATGGACTGCCGAAGAAATGAGCCAAAGAAATGCGACCTTCCTTCTAAAAACTGGCTCGTAAAGGTTTATCACAAAGAGGTGATGCGCACTCTTAATCGCCTGAAATCTTCACCAACAACAAGCTTGGAATATCGCTGTTATAATAATCTCGTCACAGCAAATAGGGGCGAGTACCGTGTTAATAATGAGCTGTCTGACGTCTACTACATTCCCAAACGACTAGCCAGCGACTTTTCCACGTTAGCATCTCTGTTTGCAGAAGAGGAAGTGTTTGTAGAGATTGCCGTCCCAACGCTAATTCGATGTTTAGACAAGCCTGGAAATGTAGAGAAGGTGAATCCCTTATATTTAATGGGGAAGATTAGAACTGAGGATGCGCCGTTGACTCACTGGGAGGAAAGCCTTAACTATCATTCTTTTCATCCGTATAAATTGAGCCCCGTGCTGAGGAAGGACAGGTCGCACGTGCAGCATTTCTGCAAACAGGTTCTACCGCAAATGAGCAGCTGCCGGCCGACATACTGGCATTGATAAGTGACCCCTTGATTGACCCCTTAATTGATTAGTGTGAACCACTTCAGCCGGCGCGTAGGTTGTTGATGAGTTTACGAGCGCGTACTGTGAGCAATTCGCTACGTCTCCAAGAATATCGAGAATACTAGCACTGCACAGCCTAGGCTACTGCTACTATATTGTATTCAGCAAGCGGGGGCAATAGGATGTGAGGTTTGGCACGTCACACCTGGCGCATGTAGGAGTGGTTGACGCGGCGCGCAACGACAATGGACGGGCACGCTTCCCGCATCGCCTTGCGCTAGGGATAGGTGACGCGACGCACGCACCTACGAGCAGGCATAGCTTGCTGCGTTCCGTCAAGGTCTGGTTTTGCCTAAGTAGTTTCTGCTACTCTACGTTGCTACAATCTGCTATTTGCTACAATCTGCTATTTGCTACTATCTACTGGTTGTCACAAGTCTACGCTGCTACAAGATCCGGCACGGAGATCTTCAGCACTTAAAATCACAGTACAACAATTGGTGGAGGATCATGGTCGTTCTGCATTAGCTACCTCTACCCAGCTAATCCCCCAGCGGAAGAAGAAGAAGAGCGAAAGAAGAAGAAGATGAGAAGAGAACCAGGCCTTCCAATCGTCCAGCGGAAAAGGGAGAAGCAGACGGAGAAGATGGAGAAGAAAGAACTAACAGAGGAGCAGCAGATGAGCAGAAGAAGCGGAAGACTAACACGGCGACGATAGGGTAAGCTACATCGTAAATTACATAGCCACAAATTTATTTGGTTGGAAATAATTTATTAACAGTAAAATAGCTCGCGAATTACCGAGCAGCGCGCGAATTTTCGTAGTTGTAGCTAGCGTGGTATTCGAATTTTATTACGGCGTAACGGTGACTCAAAGTGTCGAAAGGAGAGATGTACATTATTAAGCCTATGCGATGAGAAAGGCGAAACGCCTAGCCGCTTCTAAAGTATGACCTCGAATGTTGCAATTTAGGGAAGCCGCATTCGGCGTGTTATTATCCCTACCAACAGAGGCATACTACGGCACAAACTCACCCTAGTGGGTAAATTAAAGGTGACGATTGAGCTAAAACAGCTCCGCCCAAAAATGGGTACGTCCGATTTCGTCACGCGTCGCGTCATTTTTGGGTCACGGCTGCTGCCGATACCATTTGGTCGATACCACGACATAGCAAAACCACGAATTTAAATTTTTAATAAACAAAGAGTTGGCTATGGATCTGTGTTTACGATATGGCTTAGCCGGTGATATCTGTATTTTTGTTTCGTCGTTTGTTTGTTTGTGTTTTGTTTTTTTAATTCACCGATTACTGACGCGTTTTATATGGTAAGATATGGTATCCTTGTTTCGCCCTCCTTCCTTGCCTTCCCTGCCGATACGAGTTGAGTTACCGATGCAGTCTGTCGAAACCCTCCTGTGATACGAAAATGTGGCCACATTTTTACTAGACAGCTGCAGCAATATCCCCCCTCAACTCGTTTCAAAACCGGATTTTCCGTCCCTTCTCTACCCCAAGGATTTACCATCGCCATCAAGCGTAAACGCGATCGGTATCTTGAAAACCGCCTCACATGCGAGCACGGTATACGCACGTGCAGCACATCATATCAGCATATGATTGCAGTGGGGCTGATTGTTTTGTTTTGTATCACTGTTCCTTGCATTATTGTCATAATGCACTGTATAAACAACTTATACCAGTTTATTCTATTTAGGTAGCGTATTTTAGAATATAGTTATTATATATCGTTTTTAATTGGAAATACTTTTTCATGAAGACAGCAAGCGGTGGCAATAGGATGTGACGCTTGGTACGTCACACCTGGCGCATGTAGGAGTGGTTGACGCGGCGCGCAACGACAAGGGACGGGCGCGCTTCCCGCATCGCCTTGCGCTAGGCATGTATGGGTGACGCGACGCACACACCTACGAGCGGGCATCGCTTGCTGCGTCCCGCCAAGATCTGGTTTTGCCAAAGTAGTTTCTGCTAGATCCGGTTTCGAGCTGCTATATAAACAGCAATTGACAAGCAAAAAATATAAGATTTTAGAGAGAGATAGACGATGTAGAGAGCCAGAGAGGAGAGACGCCAGGCGGGTTCCAATATGGACGAAACCTAGGCTGTCGTATGTAGTATCAGGAAATTGTCATTATTAACTTCTGGTAATATGTATGTATATATTTTGTATGTGTTCGTGTTATTAATAATTAAAGTCATAGTTCAACAACGAATCAGCGACTACGTCATATCTACTGGTTGTCACAAGTCTACGCTGCTACAAGATCCGGCACGGAGTTCCTCATCACTTAAAATCACAGTACAACACTACTGCTGGTACAATATTATACTACTTCTAATGCTACTACCGCTACTGCTACTGCTGCTGCTGCTGTTGCTACTGCTACTGCTACTGCTGTTGCTGCTGCTGCTGGACCCATTATCATGTTAAGACTAATGTTAAGATTAAAATATGTTTGAGAACAGGTCAATGGAGTTCAAATCCCACGTTGTTATCGCTTTATTTGCTAAAACCGGTTACAGGGGGTAGGAAGGATGAGACTGCACTTCCGCCTTTGCGGTTTATGCTTTGCTGACAAATTGTCATTCACAGCGCATCTCCTCGCATCACGAAGCACGAGGGCAACGCTTTGCTCTCGCTCATTTGTGCTTCATATCCAGTTCTATTTGCTCGTGCCAGCAAACCCGACTTCCTTGCGAGTATCCAGGTGAGCGATAGGAACAGCTACCGTTGCCTGTCTGTAGGATGAGCTAGCCGATGTACACATTTGTATTTTGTTATCAACGCATGGGAATTATATTCCGTTTTTAAAAGTTGGTATCGTGCAACAAACGTACTGAACAGCACCTGATGTACCAACATATATAGTTAAGCAATAAGTTTGGTGCTCGCGCAAGAAAGATGAAATGAGGTCTAAAGCGGAAGCCAGAGAAGAAAAATATGTGGCACACGCGGACGCGCGCATGCGCAGCAGGAGTCGACTAGTCTAACCTTTCCCGGACAGTGACAGATTACTTCGCTTAGCTTCAACGCTTGCATCGATGCGTGTGAGAATAGCTACTGTAAAGTCATGTGGACGGCTGCCGTTCGCCTGCAGAAGAACTGTCGCTGTCATTGCCGCAGTATTTTGCATTACTGCCCTGTGCTTGACAATCAACTACGACCACGGCTCATCTACTGGTGCGGGGCTATGGCCACAAGATGCCGAGGACCAGGAGGTAGGTCACACGATGAAAGTACTCTCCAGCGCTGGGCGTTTTTTCTACTCTGATTGCTCTGATATGGCCGCCCATATCGTCCTCCCTTAGCCAGGGGTTCTTTCCACTCAAACACAGCCGCATATGCCTTGCCTAATGGAAATACAAAATAGAATTGCATAATATGGAAATGGGGTAACTTTCGATTCGCGTCAAGCTGGTCTATCAGTGGCGCCGCCAGATAGAAGCCACGGGAGGCACGTGCTTTCCAGTATATTTGGGTTAACATTTTGTTTTCCTACATTTTGTTCTAAATCTCTCTCGCCAGACTCACAGTTTGCTTCCAGACGCTACATTCAAAATTTTCGGCGGGCATGCCCCAGACCCCTAGCACGCAGCGCGCATACGGCGCTTGCTTCTTATTATTACTGAGGATTTTATCCTTTTGTGCTTCTATTTTCTTAAGACCTGTGGGCGCCAGTGTGTCTAATGATGACATAAATAATGTGAATACAAATTAAGAAATAAGGGGTTCTAGTCAGTATTGATTTACTTGGAGCGGGTTCTTGAATGGCAATCTCTGATTTCCCATTTAAACTAGCTAGAATTATTACGCGGATGCATATATACTATATACGATATTCACATTTTTATTAGTAAGAGAGTATATTCCTGTTAAAGAGCAGCAGCTGACGTCACTGATGACGTCAGAGACATGATACAACCATAATTTTCATGATATTCACTAAGCCAGTATCATTCAGCATCAACCCTCTTACAGCTGTCATCTGCATGCCAGTGATAGTTGAAATTGCCGCGCGACCGAAAATAGCCCCGTTTCCCTTGTTACACCCCTTGCATTTAGGCGCGTGTTTGTTGACACATAGCTTAGTAACGGCATGCAGTACACATCGTACGCGCGTTTTGCATGAAAGTGCGGTGGTAACCTCGTAATTTCTCACAATTTCTCAAGGTGCATGGAACATATTACTAATTTAGTGGTGTCAGTTAGTCATGGATATGTCGCAGTAATTACTAACAGTAGATATTTCACATACGTTCACCCATTTTGCACACAGGCGGTCAATCATTGTGAAAAATAGAATAACGCTGATTTCTCCGTTTCGATTTCTGACATATAGTAGCCGATGTATAAATGGATATTTCTCTGTGATTACAACTCTGATTAATTTGATTTTACACTCGTTTTAATGGTAACATATTGCTGTAAAAAAGTGCGTCAGGGATTGTTATTAAGTGCCGTATTTTATTAGTTATGCCTCTTTATTCGCTAAAATTTTCAATTCTAACACACAACTGAAAAATCCTGACGCACTATTTTGGTCCATATTGTGCTTAATTAACATGTGGCAAAAATTTTGTATCCTCACTCTTTCTGGTAGTTGAGAAATATCCAAAATACCATTTTTACATAAAAATTCAAAATTTGTGTGGTAACATAATTAGGTGCTGAAAATGTCATGAATTTTTTTGGCTTGAGCATAGAGATATATATAGATAGATACATAGAGATAAGTGATTGATTAGATTCATTCGCCAATAAACGTTTAATCTTCATTAGAGCAATACCCGTGCAAAAGGTTGAGAGTATCCTTAAGCTGGTCAAATAATACTATCGAAAAACACAGTGTATAGAGTCCATAGACCATTGTGCTATTGCACGGCAAAATTAGGCGCAATCGTCTATTTGTCAGGTTCAAATTCGCAGAGTAAGCAAGCATCAAAAGACACGAATGGTAAATTAACCAGATACTAGGGCACGGCCTAAACGAAAGTCTGTCATTTCACTTACCGCGGAGTCAGACGTATTGTAGTTTGTTCAATGGATAATATATAAATATAACCGGGATAGACAATATAAGCGATTCTCACTAATTTCACATGTTTGCATGCCGTATGTTTATTATAAGGTGGGAGAGAAGTGGGATATGGTTGACCCGGATGTCCACTCTGAGCGATGGATCGTGGTGACCTCCGTCAATCAACCTACGGAGGACATCCGCAAAATGGCGTCGATGTCAGACTGGAAGGTGGTCGTTGTAGGCGACAAGAAGTCACCGCCCGACTGGAGGTATATATCTAAAGTCGTATATAAAGTTCAACATAAATTCTCCCATCGAAAGTAAAAAGTATCTACGTAGCAGATTACAACTCAAGATCCTTTACTTACATGCCGTATTCACAAGCCCAATATAATCCTTCCCTTCGTAGTTTTCCTCGTTCACTCAACCAGATTGCAGCCAGGCACGTCTGCTTTGTCTCGTTCCCTCAAGCGGAATTATTTTCCATACAATTCTTTACAATCATATGTCGTTCGCTCGCAAAGCCTCCAGACAGTCTCTCACCCATTCAAAATTGTATTCATACGCAGCAGACACACACACACACACACACACACACACACACACACACACACACACACACACACACACACACACACACACACACACACACACACACACACACACACACACACACACGCACACACACACGCACGCACGCATGCTTACACACACGCGCGCGCGCGCACACACACACACACACGCTCACGCACGCACGCACGCACGCACGCAAACATACTGACATACACGCACACTCACGCACGCCCAGCCCACATACACATTCCCGCACGCACGCACTCACATGCGAAATCGTAGACACGCACACACGCCCGCGGCAGGCACCAGGCACCTTTAAAAAAATTGACTGAAGGGGCGGCCATACTACTTTATTAAACAACATGCATTTGTCTACGATTTGCTTAATTCAAATTGAGAAATAGTGCTAATGTCCAAGAGCCTTAATACAGCATTTGTGATTGGTCTAACAGGTAACAGTACGAAAAACACTGCGTTGATTGGATGGAACGTTATCACGAGTCAAACCTATTCTATTCACATATAAGGAGTCCGGGTTGGTTGAAATATTGTCACGATATAACTCCATTTGAATAACGGATGATTAACGAATAATAAATGATTCGGCGATCAGCATGCGCTTCCCATACTCCACAAATTATCCATTTTAATTGCAATTATAAATGAATAGCGGGTAAAAATATTATTCTGATTTTTTGTAATTTAAACACTCGTAGCGTGGACAGGTTATATTGGTGATCATTTCCTACGCCGTACTAACACGCACGCGCGCACGTACACGCACACACGCACTAACACGCACAGTCATGTTTCATCCATGTTTACCAATCTGCTCATTGTTTAATAATTATGTTATTATGATGGATAAAATTATTGCAACAGAACAACAGCTTTCTATACATTTATGATTGCTTATTCACCTATTTTTGTGATATGTACGAACACTTTCTAGGTAGAGAAATACAGCTCTAATAGCTGAGTGACATTGACCCCGTATTTATAATGCACCTTTACGGAGGGTACTGGTTCCGTGCTACCTAATATATCTGCTCACGATATAAACCAAGCATTATCGTCTATTTTTAGTGAAGCCAACTGCATCTACCTAGGCCCCGAAAAACAACAATCTCTAGGTTACGGAATCTTGAAGAAGATACCATGGAACAATTACGCCAGGAAAAATATTGGATATCTCTATGCCATAGAGGTGAAATCAAACGTAGAAATTATTGATATAAATAATTAATTTTTGACACGATTCTATAGAGATCGAAGGTATGTTTGATAATGTGTATTTAGCACGACTTGAATAACATCATTGCCAACCTTTATAATATTATCACTTTTCCAGTATAATCATTGCTAGAATTGTATATGATATTAGTTAGGTACTATATATGTGTACAAAGTTTTTTTTTCTACAATACTTGCAGCATGGCGCCAAATATATATTCGACACCGATGATGACAACCATCCGACAGATAATCTCAACAGTTTCGTATACGGGCCTACGATGACAGGACTAGTAACGGAGTGTGGTCACCGACAGAAGATGCGGAGATTCCTAAACCCGTATGCCCACTTTGGACAGCCTACAATATGGCCTCGTGGATTCCCACTGGGGGAAATTGCTTTAAATGTAGGAAAGAAATACGCTTTCTGCAAGTTCAAAACGCCGGTTATACAGCAAGGCATTGTGAACGGCGACCCGGACGTGGATGCCATTTTCAGATTAACTAGGAAGAAAGTGGGCCTAAGACTTAACATAACATTCGATGGAACTGCCCCACCAGTTGTTCTTTCTCCTGGCACGTTCTCGCCGTTCAACTCACAGAACACGCTGTTCCATCACGCGGCGTTCTGGGGTCTTCTGCTGCCTGTGACAACGACGTCACGAGTATGCGACATCTGGCGAGGTTACTGGGTGCAGAGACTGCTGTGGGAAACCGGTGATCAGCTTGCCTTCTTCGGACCCACGAGTTTTCAACGTCGAAACTCGCATTCATACATGAACGATGCTAGCGACGAAGCAGACCTGTACTACAAAAGTAATAGTCTCGTAGACCTGTTGCTTGATTACCAGTGCAAGGCAGATGACATCTATATTTGTATGATAGAACTCACCAACGAAATGGTCAGGCACGACTTCATACAGCTCGACGATGCTTTGTTAATGAGAACGTGGATAAACGATCTCAAGGCTGTCGGTTACAAACCGCCAGCCAAACAACGGAGAACTGACGAAGTAAGAAATAATAACTGTCATGCGGAGCAGGATAAGGGCGTGGAGGTGCTATTCGAACCGCGCCCGCAGCCTACATCACTCATCCACTCACCATCTCCAAAAAGAGTTCTTCAGAACGAGGCTGCAATTAAATCGCTGCAGCGGAATATTTGTCCAGCATTCGTACAATCGCCGTCACGGGTTCCACAATCCGGCTTGCTCTTTGATGACATATTGCTCATCATAATTTTCAATGGTTACCATACCGATACAATTCCCATTCTCGAGGTCATGTACCGTCCCAGCTTTCCCAATATTCTCTACTGTGGCGAATTCCGCCCAGAACAAGATAACCGCACTTTCGCAAACATTAAATATTCTTTCTATGCCGTTCCAAAGATGGGGCTAGACGGTTATAACTCGTACGAATGCACGATTGGCGCCATTAGAATGGGCTACAATGTCTCCGGGTTCCTCGTCATAGGGGATGACGTCCGGTTAAATATCCAACAATGGACTAATCTAAATAGGTCAGCATTGATTTTCGATACTATGGATGTAATTGATCTACCGAAGGTACACTGCCGTTTTCGGACGCCCAACCGTTGTCTCCTTCCTAGTAAAGCCTGGCTTCTGGCCTTCTACCGCGAAGAGCTCGTGAAAACTTTTAATCACCTGAAATCTTCACCAACAAAAAGTTTGGAACGTCGCTGTTATAATAACCTCGTCACTGAAAACAGGGGCGAGTATCGCTTCAATAATGAGCTGTCTGACGTCTACTACATTCCTAGACGACTGGCTAGCGACTTTGCTACGTTAGCATCTCTGTTCGCAGAAAAGGGAGTGTTTGTGGAGATTGCCATCCCGACGCTAATACGCTGTTTGGACAAGCCGGCAAACGTACAGAAGGCGAAATATTTATACATAGTGGGTAGGAACAGAACAAAAGATGCGCTGTGGACTCACTGGGAGGAAAGCCTTAACTATCATTCTTACCATCCGTATAAATTGAGCCCCGTGTTGAAGAAGGACAGGTCTGACGTGCAGCATTTCTGCAAACAGGTTCTACCGCGAATGAGTAGCTGCCGGCCGACATACTGGCATTTATGACGCAGCTAAATTACTCTATAGAATTGTGCTATGTATATATATATCTTGTCATGTTTGAACTTATCTCAACTACTTAAACTATAATTCTTCATGTCAAACATCCACAGCGAACAGATGATCGTACTGTGCAAATAAATAGTTAAGTATTAAACTACAATCTTGATGTATTCGAAATAAAATTTCAACCTTTATTAACAATAAATGTTTGTGTTCATTACAACCGTCTTCGAACAATACAGTTACACATTTATTTACTGTAATTTTGATTGAATTCCAAATATTTTCCAATATAATGAAGACTACTCTTGCACTCCCAGCATTTACTGAAGCAATCCACATCGATATACTTTTCTGGGTTGTTACGCTTTCTATAGACAACGAAGTACAACTTTTCTATTGCACTTTCCTTGTTAAGATTCGCCTGATGTTTGCATAGCACAATGGCACGAACCGTGTCTTGTCATTTAGTTCAAGACTTCAAGATTTTTATTCCACTTATGATAAATTTACCTTTCTTTCATCTATGCATTATGATAGGACATTAGTATCGATTCGTATTCAAAAGCCAAGATCTTTATTGAGATAAGATTTTTATTTCTTCTAGAAATTTACTTGGTCATAGAGAGAAGAATATGAAATACATGAATTCATATCCTTCTTTCCATGGCTAAGTAAATTTCTAGATGAAATAAAAAGTAGTAAATAAGACAACAGTGACGGATTCTATGTGTGGATTTCAAAACTATTGAGCAACAGTAAATATTTTACCACCCTGCAAGACATTATACTTATTATATACCTATGTAATGGATTTTTTAATGGAAACGCGAAATGTCACTACAGTTTCCAAAGTGTCTCTCTGTTAATTCATACTGTAGTGGCCCTAGGGGTAGCCGACTACGGTACGACAGGCGTTATAAAGTTAACGCGTGTCATATAGTTGTTTGGATTCAGTGTTCGCTCCAGCCGTCATATTAGGCAGGACGGTGATGCGCGTAGCAAATAACAGGTAGTACCAGTGGAACAGAACACAGTTAAACTCGGTTAACTGTACGGTTATAGTGTTATTGCTTCTTACTAGATTACAAATGATTCCCCTGCATTCGTATATGCAGCGGATCCTATAACCACTAGACTAATATTAAAGAAGTAACGCGTCGCCGGCTTCGTCTTCCTCTCTCCCGTTCGCCCTCGCTTCGCGTAGACCTAGGCAGCCTCCACGGGTGTCTCCCTCTTAGTCGCTCCTGGCTCTACCTAACTAAAATCCTGTTCTTCTCCACCTGTAGTGAAAGATCCCGGCTGAGTCCCCATTCTACCTGTAGTCTTCTTTCCTTCCCGTTTCATTCCCCTCTCCGGTTTTCACTTACCTGAAAACCCGTGCGTCTATTCCCTCTGTTATCTCTCTTCTCGAGACCTAAAATGCTTTCTCCCTCTTTCTCTTCTTCTTCTTCTACTTCTTCTTCTTCTTCTTCTACTTCCTACCTAGCCCTGAAAAATAGCGCTCTCTTCCTCTTTCTCTTCGTCTTCTTCTTCTTCTTCTTCTTCTTCTTCTTCTTCTTCCTACCTAGACCTGAAAAATAACGCTCTTGTGCTGCGATTCGGTGCGCCTTATATACCTAGCTGGCACCGTTACGTCAGCTGGTGCAATAGTTTCACCTGCGGACGCAACCCGTGGCTGATACGATTATTGCATTATCTGATGTAACTCGTTTCTAAGCAAATATTCCTCTCTTCGACAACCGCGTTGATTATTATACTATATATATGGCGTTATCGCTTTTCGAGTATACACTGCCTCGTTTTCCCTTGGACCCCATCCGTATGTATGAGCCAAGGTGGCTGCGCCTAGGGGTGTTGATATATTTATGTGCCTCTATATTTGATCTTGTCCTTAGTATATATATGGTTCTTCTATCTATACTGTGAGTTCAATCCATCCTTCCTGATCTAGCCTACTGCTCCTGTGAGTTACACACCCCCGAAATCTCCGCAATACCATACAACGGTTGGTCTGCAGCAACAGCAGGGATTTGTTTAGGATTCATGCGTTGGACTGTTTTTTTATTGATCTTTATTCCATTTTTTTCGATTGCAATGGGTTTCTTGACCCCGACAATGTTGGTTTAAACACCAAGATCATTTTTCTATGTTGAATATTAGCTGAAAGATAAAGAATAATAGATTGTAATGGTGGCCATTTTGAAATTCAAGATGGCGACCAGATATACCATGTCAATAGAGATGAGTACCCGATCTCATATGTATGTACATATCTTAAACTACTTGTGTGCCAATTATCATGCTTTTAAGTGTAATCTCATCTGATTTATGGCTCATAGCTGCTGTGCTACTATGCTCTCTGCGTAATCTGTCCTGGTGATAGTCTGATAGCTGGTTGCGTAATCGTTCATTGACAGTTGCCTTTGCCATGTTCGATGTAATTATGTTTATATACTTTCCTAGTACGCACAGAAACATGATCTATTTGTAGTTGTGACACTCTGGGAAGTTTCCCTTCATTGGGATCAATCAAATCAAATCAAATCAATAAAGTCATTTTCAATATTAATTCTAGCATTCTATATTTTGTCTCCAAAACTTTCTACCGTGATACCATGTTGCATTTTATTTGTTATTTATAATTTATAGTTACCCTTAATTACATCAGTTGGTACTCCTGCCGAACCTTGATTTCATTATATTTTCAGTGCCGTGGCCTTCTTGATTTTACTTCTGTTTGCATGGGTCGAGGCAGGTTGATCATTTGTAGGAATATATCAGCGGGCAGAATATCTGCAAGTTCCTCTGAAGTTGGTTGCTGACTAGCTCTGTAAAGTGTCCAACCACCCATATTATTTTGCTCTTAAACATTACTGAGTATTTTTTCTCAAATGCATTCTTGATGGGCTTGTTCATTTATGGTGTTATTGACTGTTAGGTCGTTTGTCATTAGCTATAGTTTCGTTCGTCTATGGTACCGCTTCCTATGTCTACCTCATTCTGACAAAATGTCTAAAAAGCTTCGTTTGTCGTTCACATTACTCTTCCTGACCGTTTTTAGCCAGTCGTGTATTGCATGCACGCTAGCATGGAATAGCATTGCATTTGCTTGCATGATGATTACTCGCATGCCTTCGCCGTTGTTACTTTCTTGTTCTACCAATTGACAGCAGCGTTATCACACACATGTACAGAGAAAGACTATTACCACGATATATCTCGTTTTGTAACGGTCATTTCCACGGACTAGCTCGTGGCTAGCGTTGGCGTGCTTTCGTTGTCGTTACGAATTATAGTTTATTCTATAAATATATATTATAGTAGTTTATTATAGTTCATTATAATTATGTATTTTGAGTTCGTGTTGGAGGTTTTAGATACAAATGTGCAGACAGTCAAGTTCACTGACATGACTTCATTTTAATTAATGCTCGGTTCGCAATGATAAAACTATTAAATTCAAGCTGGATCACTACACGCGCTACAGGGCATCGTGCGTTTGCTCGCACACAGACAACTCGCAATTACGAATCGGAGCTGACCCATCATGACCTCGATGACGGTGTCCGTGAAGACATTGAAACCCAAGTTGGTATTAAATCGAAGATTTTTCATGTTTTTACGAACCGTTCTCGTATTTTTCGACCGTTCTGATACTTACCGGCACTCCTTACATAACACCACACGTAAGGTTAATATGTCATAAAACACTCGTACATCAATCTTTCCACCAATGTGTGCGCCAATCTGCATTTCAAATGAGATTTGTTTACATATGTCAACAAAACTAGCGCGTGATGTTTGCTCTCGCGAGACCAGAATCCTGTCTTTACACTAGGTTTATTACCTTTGTATACATTTCGAGATAGGTACCGCTCTATAAATATTTGTGACACGCGTACTTGTTATGTGGGAGCGTTTGACAAGCATAAGTGAGATCGGAAAGTCCAGCTGTGCTAATTAAGTCACAGAAAAAGGGGTTATAAAATGGCCGAGCCGCGCTTATAGGAAAGTACATGATTAATGTAGACACTCGTGCGTTTTTCGTTTTTGCATTAACACAAACATTGCAAAATATCCCAAATGACCACAATCATATTTGTAAATGTTTCTGTAAACAGAAACGCACCTGTAAATTGAAATACGATGTTAGTGAAGAGAATTATTGATCAAAAACTTAGACCAGTCCTATACTAACAATGTTATAAAACGGCAGTTTATACCCCTTCTTATCAGATCTCAATATGGCGGCGGGGACTTTCCGATATGGCTTATTATCGCGAATCTGAAGATAGAATTAAGGCGCACGTTTGCTGTTCATTTACTGTTTTCTGAAGTAATCAGTAATGTGTACGCTGACAGATGAGTCTAAATTTGTCTAAATTTATTCATTTTTCGACTTATTTGGGAAATAATCGTTTTAATCCAAGTCAAATTTTAGCTATAGGTTTATGCAGTGTAGTATTTTCTATTTAACGCAGGCTGACGGCATATTTAATTTATAAAAATAGGTTATCTTAAAGAACCTATAATTTTAAGCTACCCCGCAAATTAAGCGAGGCATTGGTACGACTGCAGGACTTACCATGCATTCTCAGCAGACATGGAATCATGCACAACAAGGTTATCAGTTGCGATATCACACCTGTCTGCATCTCACGCGCTATCAAGCAACTCAGATGTAGTCTATGCTATTAAAGTTGATAACCATTTAATGGTGGCATCTTTAATAACAAGGAAATTGGTATTCGTTTATTTCTGATTTGTGATATCTCATATGGAAGAAATAATCCAATATAGCGGATATATAAGAACGGCCATGATGAAAACACCTGTTCTAAAACATGTTTCTGCACTTCCTGGGCAGTGTGGTGACCAGGGAGCTCCTTAAGGTTCTTCCCAAAGCCATTCTTTATAGAACCAAGGGCTCCAACCACCACTGGCACAATTCTCGTCTTAGTATTCCACATCCTCCTAATTTCGATCTCCAGATCTTTGTACTTGGTGAGTTTGTCTCTTTCCTTCACCATGATGTTAGTATCATCTGGTACGGCGACGTCAATCAGCAGGCATCGTTCATCTTTCTTGTTGTGGAGCACAATATCAGGGCGGTTCGTAGGTATCGTGCGATCTGTCTGCACTGCCATATCCCACATGATGGTAGTATCTCCGATGTTGATAACTGGTCTCGGAGTATGTTCATACCACTTGTCAGGTACTTGCTCACCAAGTTCACTGCAGATTGACCAGTGCAGATAGCTGGCTACCTTGTTATGGCGTTATTGTTATTATTGTTATTATTATTGTTATTATTATTATTAGTATTAGTATTAGTATTAGTATTAGTAGTAGTAGTAATGGTGATGGCAGTAATGGTGGAAAGGGTAAAGGTACTGTCACTGCTAGTGGTTGCGGTAGCAGTCATTGGGTAGCGGTAAGGACAGTGGCCACGTATGACAATAGCAGTAAGCAGTTTTCGTAATAATTTGATTGATTTTTTGTCGTTATGTAGCATCTCGTATAAAATAAACATTAAAATAAATTTCATGCGTTTGAAGCTTTTATTCGCGCAAATTCTTATAGCAGTGTCACTCGATGACAAAGAATAACGACACCTATTGTGAAGTCTATTGGTCTTTCTGGCATAAATATATGACACTGCGATTTTAATCCACATTTTATTACACAGTTACACGTCGCACGTGACACGTTTCTAGAGCTTCACATGATAGTCTTGAACTTTACCCCGAGTTTTGTTGGGAAATTTACCTGTGTATTTCCATTGCAATTTACAGAATTCAATTACGTTGTTGGTTTACATGCAATAAATAAATAATATGCTCATGCGCATGCAGCCGCGGAATATATATATAAATAATAATACCAGCGGTTAAGTTGAGTAAACTGTGATTATCCGCGCGTAAAATCGTCAGCTGGCACTCTGCCCGAAATCACAACTAGATTTCAATATGTAGTACACGTGCTGGAGCAAGAAGTAGCAGACAACGTGCGATAGGGCGCAAGAGGGAGAGGGAGAGAGAGAGAGAGAGAGAGAGAAAAAAAGAAGAAAGAGAGAGAGAGAGAGAAAGAAAGAGAGAGAGAGAGAGAAAAAGAGAGAGAGAGAGAGAGCATGCGAGAAAGCGAAGGGATGGAGTTGGCCAACCCGATGTACATATTATAACATGGTTAATAGCCAATGGCGAAATGCCCATGGTCAACTTACCTATAACACAATCTACGAGTGGCCTTGCCTCCGCCCTTACCCCTGGCAAAATTAATTAGCTGCAATCTGGCATCATGCATAACTTACTGTTACGCAAGTACACTTTGTAATAGTGTATTAAATAATATAACCTATATATATATTTATATATATATATATATAATATATAGTTAAAGTTTATATTTTGTTACATTGAGTTCCGGGACAAAACCATCAGTATATGCTCTTACCTAGGATTACTATCTGCAGGGGACAGGTATAACATATCGTGAGATCTGCCAGGTGTCTATCTGATCTGCTCACGTATTATTAGCATAGCTCACAATCTTACCTGATATGAATGCTAGATTTACGGGATGTGGTTCCCGGCACGACCTACTCTACCATTGGCTGCGTTCGGATGGATATATTGCGTAGACGGATGTACTGAAACAGGCGCGTGGCAAAACTGGTTAAACAGCCAGCCGTGTGCGTAACAGCGTAAAACTATGTTGCTTTTATTTGTTTCAGCTTTCTTTGTTGTGCAGGCAGTGCTGGGTTCACCTCTCGAACATCAGTCGCGTGAGTTGTATAATTCATAACCATATACTTATACTATATACGATTATATATTACCTTATAAAATACTATCGCAAGTTGTACGCGCATTACCTAGTAATTCGCCTCACCTCTGATATTGCATGGTTTCAATTTCGGTACATCACAGCATGATCTGACACGCTCATATTCGTTGAAAAGTGCAGATTCGTTTGGCATGCTACGTTAACTCATTAGTCTACGTTTACTCGGTATACGCGAAAGTGGTATAATAAGCTGATAGTAGTATATTATCGAGTGGCATGTGCGTGCCAATCGCGCACGAAAATATCCTAAATTAAAGTGGTCTGACTTGGTGCGCTGCTTGTCTTGGAAACTACTATTAGTTATATTAGCAATAGTAAATGCACACCTCGCCGTGACTCGAATGCAGTGTAATCCCTGATAGGTATGTTAGATCGTTACACGCACGCAATTTCTCTCTCTCGTGTAGAAACCAGCTATCATAACAAATATACATATCGAGGCTTGACATACCGGTTTTAGTAGCAAGCTCCTACAATGTGTATTCTGCAATACATATCCTGCAATATGTTTCACGTTTTTATGCAGGCACCGTGTGTCACGACCAGCTTGGCTGCTTCCCAACGGGCGGATCATTCAGCGATGAAGACCCATGGCCACCGGAAGAAATCGGGACCGATTTTTGGCTCTACACACGGAGAAATCCGGTGGAATATCAGGTAGCACTCCCTGCTAGATATATCTATCTATCTGTCTGTCTATCTGCCTGTCTGACTGTCTATCCATTAATCTATGTATCTATCTCTCTCTCTATATATATATATAATATATACGACAAATTTGAGCCATTATGCAAGCATTTCCACAGCAATTAAATAAATAACTAATAAAAGATACTCGCGGTTATCTCTAGTAATTACTGATTGCATTAGTGTAAATTAATCATCGTGTGATTAGTAATAACGCGAGTCCTAATTAACCTATGATCTATGCTAATTTTCGTCTTCATATGTAAATTTAGGGGAGCAAAATATCTTTCATATTACTGACTTCGATGCTAATATATCCATGCATCAACAATAGCAGCACAAACCTGTGCGGATCTATCGAAAAGTTTCATTATGAACCTTTCGGTATGAAGTAAGCAGTAGAAAAACACCTTCAAGATATTCAGTCGTCACAAACAAATAGCTATACTACAAAATATAAACCGTAATTGTTGTCTTGTTAGATAATGGACGTCAACATGGAACACAGTATATCAGCTTCATACTGGGATAAATTGAACCCGACAAAGATTCTCGTACACGGCTTCCAGAGTTCGGGAACCAGCCAGTGGCTACAGGTAGGAAGTGTTGGAGGTGGATGCACTGCATGGGCTCTAGCAGCGGATAGCTGCAGTAGGTGAACCGCGAAGTACAGGGTTGTATCAGCTAGCAGGTAGTTTTGGCTGTAGTAACATCGGGACATGGCAGCTGCTAGGTTTGAGGGTTGTAATGTCGCTTTAGAACGTCGTCTTATGCCGCTTTTATACTGCGCACGACTTTAGCCCGCTTCTGAAGCGGGATAAATTTAGCTCGGGATATG